GCAGCCAAGAGGAGATCATCCACGTATTGCAGGAGAGTCACCTGTGGATGCTTTTGTCTGAAATGGACTAAATCTTGACTCAATGCTTCATCAAACAGTGTGGGTGAGTTTTTAAACCCTTGTGGCAACTGAGTCCAAGTCAATTGCCCCGAATATCCCCCTTCCAGGTCAATCCATTCAAAAGCAAAAATGGGTTGACTTACCGCTGCCAATGGGAGTGAAAAGAATGCATCCTTTAAGTCCAAAATGGTGTAGATCTGATGACTCGGAGGTAACAAACGCAGAAGAGTATATGGATTAGGTACAGTAGGATGAATAGTTTCAACTCTCTTATTTACCTCCCGCAGATCCTGCACTGGCCGATAGTCATCAGTTCCTGGCTTTTGAACAGGGAGCAAAGGAGTATTCCATGCAGACTGGCAAGGCACCAAAATTCCTGCCTGCCTAAGTCTTGCTATATGAATAGCAATTCCCTTCCTTGCTTTCAAACTAATAGGATACTGTAGAACACGAACTGGCATAGCAGTGCTGGTTAGTTGAACAATAATGGGAGGCCGATGAGAGGCCAGACCAGGTGGATTAGTCTCTGCCCACACACCTGGGATTTTATGTTGAAGTTCCCGCAAATACTCGGACCATGACTTGAGGGAGTTTCTTCAGTTAACAAATACTCTTCTGATAGGGGACAGGTAAGGAGCATGACAGAGGGGCCTTGACCAAATGAGAGTTCAGTCACATCTCTCTGGAAAGTTATAGTGGCCCTCAATTTCCGAAGCAGATCTCTTCCCAGGAGAGGATATGGGCACTCAGGTATTACTAAAAAGGAGTGGGTGATAGTTCCTGCCCCCAAGTTTGTTATCCGAGTTTTTGTCCATGGGTAAGATTTAGTCTTACCTGTAGCTCCCTGTATAGAGATCTTCTCATCTGACACAGGTCCTATGGCTTTTTGCAAAACAGAATGTGTGGCCCCAGTATCAACCAGGAACTCTACTGGGGTGCCCCCAACATTTAAAGTTACCTTGGGCTCCTGGGGGCTCATTAGAATGGAGCCCCGGCCCCGTCATTCAGTTTCCTCCACGAGGACTGGGGTTGGCTGCGTCTCCCCTCGCAGCTGCGGCCTGTGTGGGCAATCTTTTTTCCAATGTCCATATCCTTTACAATAGGCACATTGATCCGACCCCAGATCACTTCGGCCTTTCCTAAGATTTCTTGCATTCCTGTTGTCGCGGCCTGTCCCTTCACGTAATTTTTGAGGCCCCCCCCATAGCAGCCACCAGAATCTTGGCCATCCTTTTAGACTGCACTGTACTGGAATCTTCCCGGTTGTTATAAATCTTCTGAGCAATTTTTACTAGTTCTGACAGCAGCTTCCCTTCAAATCCCTCTAGCTTTTGCAGCTTCCTTCTAATATCAGGGGCCGACTGAGTGGCAAAGGCAATATTAATAGCCCGCCTGTTTTCAGGTGCTTCAGGATCTATAGGGGTATAGAGACGATAAGCCTCAAAGAGAAGTTCTAAAAACGCCGCTGGGGCTTCATTCGGTCCCTGCACTGTCTCGCTTACCTTAGACAAATTAGTTGGCTTTTTGGCTGCCGCTTGTATACCCCTGAGCAGAGTCTGGCGATACTGATCGAGAGCCCCCTTACCTTCATTCTCATTTGGATCCCAGTCAGGGCACATAGAGGGAAATACACGTTCTATCCGGACAGGGTCAGTAGCTGGCTGTCCATCAGGGCCGGGAATTGTTTTGGCCGCTTCTCTCCGAATTCTTTCTCTTTCCTCAGATGTGAAGAGAGCCTGCAAAAGCTGCTGGCAGTCATCCCAGGTCAGCTGATGAGTAAAGAAAATTGTCTCCAAAAGAGATATCAACCCCTGTGGTTTCTCAGAAAAAGAAGGATTCTGGTTTTTCCAATTATACAAATCGCTAGTGGAAAAAGGAACATAAATCATAAAAGGGGGACGATCTAATCCAGGACTCATAGGTGCCTGT